GGGTCTTCCCCTCCTGCGCTGTCCCTCCACTCTACCCAGCATGATGTCCCTCTCTAAAGACCTGTCTCTCCTTACATGTCCAAAGTATGTCAGACTAAGCCCCAGAATCCTTGCCTCCAAGGAGCAGCCTGGTTTAATCCTCTCTACGATGAATCTGTTTGTTTTCTTGGCAGTCCATGGTACATTCAATACTCTTCTCCAGCACCACAGCTCAAAGGCGTCAATTCTCCTTCTATCCTCCCTAGTCATTGTCCAACTCTGATGCATAACAAGTGATCGCAAAAACCATGGCCTGTATCAGGCACACCTTAGTCTCCAGAGAGACACTGTTGCTCTTCATATTTTGGAGAGGTCCCTAACCGCAGGCTTTCCCATCGCAATACGTTTTTTTATTTCCTGGCTACTGGTGCCAAGAGTGTTGACCGTGGAGCCGAGCAAACTGAAGCTGTGAACAATCTCAATCTCTTCGCCATCCATCCTGATGCTACCGATTGGTCCAGTGGTGAGAATTTTTGTCTTCTTAACATTGAGCCTCAGTCCATATTGAAGGCTGCAGTCCTTGACCCTCTGTAGTAAGTGCATGAGGTCCTCCTCAGTTTCAGCAAGCAAGGTTGTGTCATCTGCATAACGCAGATTGTTGATAGATCCTCCACCAATCCTAAGGCCACGCCTCTCCTCATAGAGCCCCGCCTCTCGGATAATCTGCTCTGCATACAGGTTGAAAAGGTATGGAGACAGGACACATCCCTGACGTACACCCTTCCCAATTTTGAACCATGCAGTGTTGCCCTGCTCTGTTTGACGGTACGCATAAAAAAATAATAATTTTTTAAAAAATTTTTATAACTCATTATTGTAGAATGAGTATAAGGATCCAGGAGGTGGAAGCAGAGGCATGTGGATGTGCAGGGGGAAGGGGATAATAATCATTGGGTTGTACAATTTGATGGGTGGAGGGGTGAAGGAAATGGAAACAATTTGTTCAAATTTGTATTTGAATTTTGTAAATAAACTAGTAGGGAAAAAATAAAATAAGGAAAAAGAATAAGTATTGATTGCTGAGACAACCTGAGCATATCTACATATTCTTGAAAAATTAATCCATAAATGAAGGTGTTTGTCTATGGACAAATTAATATGCATGATGCTGAGTATACTATTTATGTATTTGGATGAGATAGAGAATCAAATGTGCAGTAGATTGTAAAGAGCACATGAAAATAAAATTCTGGCTTCCGCCCTTGTGACATTTTTCCCTTGGACAAGGTGGTGAAAATCTTTCGAGCCTCACTTTCATCAGCTATAAAAGAGGGCTACCCCGAGGGTCTCCCTACCTCACGCGGTGTCCTGGCACGCGGGGCGGGGGCGCAGCGGGGCTGCCGGCCGCACACGGACATTCCAAAGACCCCCGACCTCTCCCGCTCTCCAGGCCTTGCCCAGCGGGCCGGGTGGCACGACCAGCCCCCGGGGCTCCCGCCGGTTCCTGCTAAGCGCTCACGTATCTCTGTGGGACTTTAGACAAAAACACACGGGTCAGTGGCTACTGGTCTTGCTTGTTCACCGACTGACTTCCGGCTGGCAGGAGTTGGCGGGGACGTGGTGGCCCCTTATCTGGCATGACTGACACAGTCCACGCTTCCGTCCGTGGACCTGGCCATGGCCAGGAGTTGTTTGTGAGAAGCTGAGTGAGACAGACGTTTTATACTTAAGTCACAGCCGCACGCGGACCTGTTAGAGGGGCCTCCAGGCTGGTGTGTCCTCCTTTTGTTAAAAGATTTTCAATCCAGGGGATCCCATGCTCAGTGGATGAATGCAGACACAAAACAGCAAAACTTGTATGAAGATGTAAAGTGCTGAACAGATTTTTCCTTTTTTACTCTTTTTATTTTTTAATCTGAGTTGTGCCATGTTCTGCAGTTGTTTGAATAAAAGTTTTATTTATTGCAAAATAAAAAAAAAAAGGGGGGGGCTAGTAATTCTCCACCTACCTACAAGGTTGTGTTATAATGACTTGTTGTTGTTTGTTGTTAAGTGCCGTCAAGTCGCAGGCAACCCATAGCGACCCTATGAAGGAGAGTCCTTGACGCTTATAATGACTTAGAGAAATAATATTTGTTAAATAATTTTGTAAGTCACAGATCCTGTACAAATGTAGTCCGCAAATGAGTAGGAAATGTATCTTGGCTCTTTTAAAAAGCAGATCTTGGGAAGCTCTGGTGGCCTAGTGGTAAGGAGCTGCAACTACAATCCCAGAGGTGCATGGTTCGAATCAGCCAGATGCTCTGCTGGGGAAGGAGGGACAATCTCCTCCTGTACCAGTCAGATCTAATTTGACGGTCCACTCACGCAAAAATAATAAAATAAAAAAAAATTTTAAAAAAGCAGATCCTGCTGTGTAAATCAGTTAGTTACGAGTGTGTCTTTTTAAAATGGGGCTTCTAACACTCCTGTCAGCAAGGTGGTAGAGATTTGCATGTGACAGCAGCCTGATACTACCTCAAAAGTTTCCTTTTCACAAAGCAACCCATCAAAAATGTGCAGAAACATTGATAAGAGTTGGCATAAACAACTAACCATCTCTTTGATATCTTGTCTCTTAAAGGCATGACTATGTCAAAAGCAAAACAAAAACACAACTAACCTCTTATTATTCTCAATAGTGGTTTTATCTTAAATATTTCCCAATTTGAGTATTCTGCCTGACTGTTTAACACTGTGCACATCTAGCATATGTATATTATCCAAAAAGATTTTCAGTTTTACCTTTAAAACTTGAGTGCAAGTTTTAAAAGATATTGAAGAGGACATTAAATGAGGCAAAATATCCCTAAAGTTAGACTCATGTTGTTGTTGTTGTTGTTTAATGCCATCGAGTCGTAGACGACTCATAGCGACCCTATGAACAAACAGCCTGAGCACTGTTCGTACACAGAGATTCCAGAGGCAAGCCATTTAGGAAGTGGATGTCACTCCTGCTTCCAGGCTTGTTTTAGTCGGGAAGCTCCAGCCAACACTGTCCACCATGGGTACTCATTACCACGATTGGCACATCACTGTCACAGTCGTCAGCATCACAGCAACCACGAGTTACCCCTGTACAGCAACACACAGACCAGTGCTATACCACCTAGAAGAATGTTTGACAGGAAAACAATTTGAACCTGGCCGAGGGCCACAGATGAAAATCACCCACCTTTGGCTTGGTAGCATAATTTCCTTTCCACTAAGCCAACATAGCTCTCTCTTTGTTGTTGTTGTTATTGTTGTTTGGTGCCGTCGGGTCGTAGATGACTCATAGCGACCCTATGAATGAACAGCCTGAGTGCTCTTCATACATAGAGTTTCCAGAGGCAAGCCATTTTGGAAGTGGATGCAAAAAAAAAAAAAAGTTAGACTCATACCTTATAAAAAGTAAGGATATTCCCACTACAGAAGGTCAAGGATTATACTCTTCAGTATAGATTGAAGCTCAATAGCAAGAAAACAAGGATTCTGATGAGTGGCCAGTTGTCAGCACCATGATAGATGGAGAAAAGACTGAGGTGTTAACAATTTCACTTTGCTTAGTTCCACATTCAACACTCTTGGCACCAGCAGTAAGGAAATCAAAAGAGGAATTGCTCTGGGGCAGCCTACTGCCAAAAACCTCTCAAAAGTGCTGAAGAGCAACAATGTCAGTCTGGAGACTAAAGTATGCCTGACTCAGGCTATGGTCTTCGCAATTACTTGCTATGCATCAGAGAGCTTGGCAACGACCAAAAAGACAGAAGAAGAATTGGTACCACGGAGTTGTAGTGCTAGAGAAGAGTATTGAACATACCATGGATTGCCAAGAGAACAAACAGAAACCAGAGAGAGTGAAACCAGGCTGCTTCTTAGAGGCAAGGATTTTGAAGCCCCATCTCACATACTTTGGGCATGTTGCCAGGAGGTACCAGTCCTTGGAGAAGGACATCATGTTTGGAAGAGTGGAGGGACAGTGCAGGGCAGGAAGACCCCGGATTAAATGGATTGACACAATAACTGGGATAATGGGGGTGGGGAGGTAGATCTCTCAGAAACAGTGAGACTGGCTCAGGATAGAGCAGAGTTCAGAGATATTGTGCATAGGGGTCACTATGTGTCATAGGTGACTCAATGGCACATAACAACAAAAACAAAGACTCGAACCCAATATCCAGTGATGTCAAATATATTCTGACTCACAGTGACTCTGGAGAACAGAGGCAACTGCTAGCACACAGAGTCTCCAAGGCTGTAACCTTTATAGAAACAGATGGCTGAACCTTTCTCCCCAAGAGTGACCAGTGAGTTAGAAATGCAACCAACCTTTCTGTTAACAGTTAATGCTTAAACACCGTGCCACCAGTGCTCCCTAAACACACAGACAGTCTTCTTGCATTGCCATTTAGATCTATCATTCTGATTGATCACTGTGTAGTTGGCTATTATTGGGCCTAATTTAACCCTATACACTCACACATCCATCTATTCTGTCTATTGTACCTGACGTCCTACAAATTACTTACTCATGCAAATGATGACCTGAAGCAACCTTTTAGGATATTCGTGTTTAATTATACAAATGGCGCTTGATAAATAAGATTATACATCCTTCCATATGTTTATTCCCTCCTTGATGAAAGGAAAATTTAATTTTCATGCAGATTTGGTCAGGACGATGTTTAATAAGTGCTGAATTGTATGGAGTCTGCAGATCCATCCAGTTTGCAGAAGCTGACAAGATCACTCCGCTTCCCACCCAGAGATGAGCAGCTTTTAATTGGGCTCCACCAGCCTGTTGAATTCTGAACTCCACTCCTAAACTGCCTCTTTGTGTTCATCCAGTCAAAGGCAAAAGGAGGGAAAGCCTCCTTCTCTGGGCCCCAAAATAGATCTCGTTCCACTCTGATTAGCACCTTTTTATTGTCAACACCTGTTTCCCTTCATCTTGAATATGTCCTGCTCTTGACTTGGGTTTTGTTGATTTCTGTTTGGAGGTCTGGGCAGTGAACTCAGCAGGAAAAGCATCCAGTACCTGGACACGGTGCAGAACCGGACCAACCCCTCCAGAAGGCCTCCAGGCTCCCAAGTTCCACGCTGTGTCTTCGACCCAAGCAGTCGTTAACATCAGTGCCCCTGCAAAGCCCAACGGGGTGGTCAGTCTCTATAGGCTGTTCTCCAACACCTCCAGTGGGGTAGTGATGGTGGTAAGTGGCACACCTTCTGGACTAAGGATCCAGAATTGTCATACTTTTTAAAATCCTTGCTACAACATCCTTGCTCCTTTTCCTCTATCATCCATTTTGAAATGCCCCCTGGTGGTTCAGGAAACACTAGGATGCCTCTAGGAAGAAAAAGTGAGCTATTAGCAAAATGCAGGGAAAACATGAAGACACAGAGAGAAATGCCAAAGGTAGTACAAAATCTAAATGCTGTATGAAACCCAAGACGTTACAGGTAATCAGATGAAATGAATTGAATTGGGGAGAACCAATTAACCAATTAATAATTAATAAATTAAGCCAGTTAATTTAACTCGGCACTTACACTCAAGGCACGTGGTCAGGTTGTTAACAACGATAATTAATGTTAGTATGAAAAAGAAAGTGTCGAGTGACTACCTCGAGAATTCCCTTGTTCTGCAAAATCTCTGATTTCACATTCAAAACTTAGTCTTTCCTTTGATGACTTCCAGAAAGTTCTGTCCATTTGGGAGAAACATGAGAGGGGCTTGTTGGCATAACTCCAGCTCCATTGTTGGTCTATTCACGTATTTGGGATGCAGTAGGGACAGACAACAAACTTCAAAGGAAAAAAGCATAGTTCACACTGTGTTTTACTCAAGTCACTTGCTGCAAAAGATACAAAGATTCAGCCAGACCAAGTCTTGCCTTATTTACATGAGACAAAGGCGCAGTGGGATGATGTCCCTGGTTCCCCCGCACATAGCTATGTTCCTCTCACGTTTCTCATGAATAACTGGAGATTATAATGCTTTGTTCACACAAACCTCAAAGAAAAATTGTACTGATACAGGTATTAAATTATAAATTATTTAGACCAATTTAACGAACAATTTGGGCAAGTGTGGAGAAACCCTTTGAGACCAGGGTACCAAGTATTGAATCACAATTTCAAATGATAAACCCACATGCAAAGCCTTGTATTGAATATTAAAAGAATATTAGCATATATGCTAGCTACAGGACTTTGTATTCTGTAAACATAGATAATGTAAATATAATCAACTCTTGATTATCTATGCTTGTAAAATGATAATATTAATAAATTAAAATTATTTCTATTTGGAGTGCATGTATACTTTTTTTAAGCAAAGATAGTTCTTCTTAATTATATGCCATTTATGCCAATGTGATAGCTTATTTGCATTTTCTGAATGCTTTTACTCTACAGAGTACTTAGAAAACCACAACATGGTCAAAAGTTTACTCCAACTAGGCCAGGAAGTTTATAATCCGTGAAAGATGATTGAGAAAAGACTGTACCACGCCCTTTAGAAAAATATTCACGCTCGTAAATATCTGTCCCTAGCTCTAATATGGACTTAATTGTTGTGTTGTGGTTGCTATGTGCAATCAAGTTGGAACTGACCCACAGCTGATCCTCTTACAGGGTTTTCTGAGGCTGTAAAACATCTGGTAGGAGACGACCCTTCTTTCTCCCAGGAAGCAGCTTATGGATTCACACCTGCCTGCCTTTGGGTTGGCAGCACAACCTCTTACCAGTAGGCCATAAGAGCTCCCCAGCAAGGACTTCAGGGGATTTTTTTTTCTCCACCTAGATTTTACATACAAATACCCACTAGTGGACTATGGGCCTAGAAATACAATTCAAATATAAACTTTTTTTTCTACTTTTTTTAAATTTTTCTACTAGCTTATTTACAAAATTCAAATACAAATGCAGACTTTTTTAAAAGAAAGCAATATTCTGAGGATCATAGCACTTGCTTTTTATTATATATTGCATGTCATTTTCTAACATAGTTGTTGTTGTCATGTGCCATTAAGTGGGGCACAACCCACAGCTCCACTCCAGTAAGTTTTCAGAGGTAGTAAATCACATGGCAGGAGATTGCCCACCCTTTTCCCCACAGAACAGCTGGTAGATTTGAACTGCATCCCTCTGGGTTGGCAACAAAGTTCCTTATCGCTTAAACACCTTAATGATTTCTATTTTATTTTCTCAAACTTTTATTTCATTGTTTGCATATTGCTTTTTGTGTCCAAGTCCCATCTGTTTTCATCTGGATCAGTCACTCCCTAAGGGTATTTTGCATCCCCCAGAGCACCTAAAATAACTCTCTATTCACTGCACCCTGTGTGCTTGGTAAGTAGTTATCCACGTTCTCAGTCTCAGGATCATTTGGTATTCTATGTCCTCCAACAGCTCTCTGAAGGCACCACTACCCAGCAGACCCTGCATGGCCTGCAGCCCTTCACTGCGTACTCCATCGGGGTGGAGGCCTGCACCTGCTTCAACTGCTGCAGCAAAGGACCAACAGCTGAACTGAGGACTCATCCTGCTCCACCCTTGGGGCTGCCCTCTCCCCAAATCCAGACACTGGCCTCCAGGACAGCTTCCTTCCAGTGGAGTCCCCCTCTGTCCCCTAATGGTGTCATTCACAGGTAATGGATCAGCTGAAAGAAGGCAGAAACCAAAGCAAGAAATGCCTACAGACAGTTATAAAGCACTATGAGAAGAGGGCTTACCCATTGTGCAGATAAAAAGGCACAGTGAGTTGAGTGGTAATGTTACTAAACCAAACTTCCAAACTCACTGCCTTCAAGTCAGTTTCAACTCAAAGCAACCCTCCATCTGTTTTCCAAGTTTGTAAATCTTTATGGGAGGAGATTGTTCTTCTTTCTCCCACAGAGCATCTGGTAAATCAAAAAGCCAGCCTTTCTGTTAGGCAGCTCAATATGCCAATAAGTCTGGTGATATAACTGGTAGGTTGTGGAGCAGCTAACCCAAAGGCAGCCCCTCTCTGGTGCTCTGACTACAGGGAGAGCGATGGGAAATCTCCTGTGTGATTTACAGTTTCTAGAAACCTACTGGATGGTCAGCTCTGGGATGGTTCTAATTTGATGGCAATTAGTGAGTGAGTGATGCCACTTGGAGCCCCTTAATGATAGAAAGATGAACAACAAGGTCATCTTTAATTTAAAAATGTCATGTGTTTGTAGTCATTAAAAGGCAATTCCCGTCCTTGTGACTCTCTGGAATCGTTCAAGCTATAGGCCTTAGCTGCTTTTATTAAGTTATTAATGTTCTTAAGTCAGGTTTCCTTAAGTGGTGCCTATAGTTACATGCTAAACTAGTACCAGAACAATTGATGGTTCTTCAGATAATAGAACCTTGGCAATCTGTTCATGAAAGTTCATGCAGAAGGCCTCTGGAGTCCAGTTCTATTCTAGAGCACATGAGTTGCCATGAATCAGAATCAGCAGCTCAGCAATTGGGGTTTTTCTGTTTTGTGGGATATGTGTGTGTGTGTGTGTGTGTGTGTGTGTGTGTGTGTTGCATGTTGTCAAGAATTTCCTTGATCTAATTTAAAATGTTTCCATGAATGACTCATTGAAGGGGCCTCTGGTGATTCAATTAATGGTAAGGAGTTGCACTGTCAAGTCAAAGGTGTGCGGTTAGAATCCACCAGGGGCCCTGTGGCAGAAAGATGGTCATTCTTCTCCTATAAGACTTACTGCCTCTGAAAACCTGCTGGAGGGTCAGTTATGAGTCAGCTTAGACTCGACAGTACACAGCAACAACTAGGTGAAAAAACAAAAACGTTTTCTCTTTAAACAGAAGAGAAAAATTTTATCATTGTCTTCTTAAAAGCAAAAGACATTTCTACCAATAAAAATTACTAGTTGCTGGGTGGGAAACTATGTTTGCATACAAGTGGCATCTTTTAGCAATATCAGCTGCTCATTCATAATAATATTAATAAGATGTTTCTAAAAACAATTTCCCACAGAAGGAGATTGTAGTCTAATTGAGGGTGGGAGGGGTAAATGACTCCATAAAAATAGAAACCGTCTTAAAAGAGCAAGTTAAACTCACTCTATTATCTGTCTTCACTTTCATGTTCATTCTCATTCTAGCTATGAACTCCAATTCTATGCAGCTTGCCCTCCTGACACAGCCCTGTCTTGTACTCCCAGTCAAACCGAGACCAAGTATGTGGGGCAAGGGCAGCAAGTCAGCCTTGGGGGTCTCCAGCCCTACACCACCTACAGACTGAGAGTGGTGGCGTACAATGAGGTGGGCAGCACAGCTTCTGAATGGATCAGCTTCACCACCCTCAGAGAATGTGAGTAGATGGGTTTATCTCCACTAGCCAGGGCAGCCTGAAGGCTGGTCCCAGAACATGGGAGAATACACTGTTTTAAGAGTATTGGGTGAGTGCTCAATCACACTGAGTGCAACCCAGACATCAGTGAAGATGCCAATTGAAGAAATGTGTCTACTGAACTTACTAACATGGAAATCAAGAATGAGTTGAGGAAGATCCTTCATTAATGATGCAGTGAAAACCAATTTAGAGAATATTAAACTGGGTGGGACAAATGGTTAAAACATTCAGTGATGAACAGAAAGATTAGAAGTTAATTCCATCCAGAGTTACCTTACTAAAGAAAGGCCTAGTGGTCTAATTTTAAAATACCAGCATGGAAAATCCTGTGGAACGCAGTCCTACTCTGATGCACATGACATCAGCGTGAGTCAGAATGACCCACTGGCTATTGGTGACTAGTGAGTCCTGGAAAGAAAGAAAATGGCCTAACATGTGCAGACAATTCATTAACGATACTCCACAGTTTCTTTTCTAGTTGTTGTTGTTGTGATGTGCTGTCGAGTCATCTGTGACTCATAGCAACGCTATGTACAACAGCTCTGAACCCTGCTCTATCTTCAGCCAACATCGTTGTCTCTGACACAACAACCCCCATTACTGTGGTCACTGAATCAATCCATCTCATCGAGGGTCTTCCTCTCCTGTTCTGTCCCTCCACCCTCCCATACATGACATTCCTCTCCAATGACTGGTCCCTCCTTGCAGCATGCCCAAAGTATGTCACACGAAGCTTCAGAGTCCTTGCCTCCAAGGAGCACACTGGTTTCACCCTCTCCAGGTTGAACCTGTTTGTTCTCTTAACAGTCCACAATTACATAATATGATATCCAGCACTTCTAGAAAGGTTTGAGACATGGCACTGCCAGGAAAAGCAATAAGTCGACTGAATACAAAATCAAACTATTATCTAATTAATCTGGTGACTTCTTATATTTTCAATAACTTTTCAGATTTTTTATTCTCTAAAATGACAAATAAAAGAAGTATTAAAAATAAGTACTTAGAGTCAGAACTGACTACACATTTGCCAGTTGTTGTGTATCATCAAGTCAGAACCAACCCATAGCTGACCCTCAGGCGAGTTTTCAGAGGCAGTTAATCACATTGAAGGAGATTGCCCATCCTTCTCCCACAGAGCAGCTGGTGGATTTGAACCTACAGGTTTCGTGCCTACAGGTTTGCAGTGCGATTTCTTACCACTAGGCCTCCCAGACCCAGTGTAAAATGAAAATATGGTTTCTCTGTTTAAAAACCATTAAGAATTTCAAGATAGCCATGAAGCAAAGGCCAACCACTGCCATCAAGTCAATTCTGACTTGTAGTGATACTATAGGACACAGTAGAATTTCCTATAGGAAAATCTTTATGATATCAAACTGCCACACCTTTTCACTTGATTTAAACTCCCAGCATTTCAGTAAGCAGCCCAATATTTCATCATTGTACCATCAGAGCTCTTCCATAAGATAGTAATACTTTCCTGCTGTGATTCCGTCCTGCGCGGCTGTTCTTTGCAACAGTGGTGTTTTATTGCCGTCCTCTCCCACATAAACGTGAGCCACCAACCCATGGAACAGTCGATGGACATGAGCCCCCTGCAGTCCCAAAACTACCTTTTCAGTTGTGAACTGAAAGCTGACAAAGATTGTCACTTTAAGGTGGATAATGATGAAAATGAGCGCCAGTTATCTTTAAGAACGGTTAGTTTAGGGGTTGGTGCAAGGGACGACTTGCAGATTGTTGAAGCAGAGGCAATGAATTATGAGGGCAGCCCGATTAAAGTAACACTAGCAACTTTGAAAAATGTCTGTACAGCCACCGGTTTCGTTTGGGGGCCTTGAAATAACACCACCTGTCATCTTACAATTGAAGTGTGGCTCAGGGCCCGAGCATCTAAGTGGGCAACACTTCGTAGCTGTGGAGGAAGATGCAGAGTCAGATGATGAAGAGGAGGAGGATGTGAAACTCTGAAGTATATCAGGAAAGAGATCTGCCCCCACAGGTGGAAACAAAGTTCCACAGAAAAAGGTGAAACCTGCCGCTGATGAAGAGCATGAAGATGATGATGATGACGACGATGATGATGATAAGTTTGATGATGATGATGAGGCTGAAGAAAAGCACCAGTGAAGCAATCTATGTGGGATACTCCAGCCAAAAATGCACAAAAATCAAACCAGAATGGAAAAGACTCAAAACCATCAACTCCACAATCGAAAGGACAACTATCTTTAAAAAAACAGGAAAAAACTGCCAAAAAAGCTCCAAAAGGACCTAGTTCTGGAGAAGACATTAAAGCAAAAATGGAAGCAAGTATAGAAAAAGCGCATTGAACAGTCCTGGGCACTACTGGTAAATTAAGCCCAAAGACGGGGAGAGAAAAAGGAGAGACAAATATAGTCGATACTGAGTATCACCAACAATCCAGACTGAAGTCTTCTATTTTAATCTCACCCCCTTTCCTGATTTGACACCCAACCATACCCTTGTGCAGACTGGAAGCAATCTTTATTTTTTATTTCCTAAGGCACATTCTATAGACTGCTGTGATTCAGTGAACCATACCCTGCTTTTCACTTGTGCATTGACCTCACCTTTTTGCACATGTTTTATAACGCTGTATCTCCCTAGCTCTTCAATAAATATTTGAATTAAAAAAAAAAAAAAAGATAGCAATACTGTCATTATGTGCCTTCAGGGAGGAACCAACTCATGGTTGACTCTCTAACGAGATTTCAGAGGCTATAAACTACCTGAGAGGAGATTTCTCACCCTTCTCTCTCAGAGCAGCTGGTGAACTTGAACCTCATAGAATATTAAACCATCCATCAAAATGCAGGATGCAATATAACTATTTTGTTTACACACACATAAACAACAAAACTTCTTTTAAGCATTATTGCTGAGTGAAATATCTCAGTCACAAAAGGACAAATATTGCATAATGCCACTGTTGTAGAGTGAGACTGACATGGGGGTTGGGGAAAACTGACAGAAGAGGGGATAGATAAAGATGAACATTATATTGGAACAGATGAGGGAAAGAACTGTTTAAAAGTAATATATAATTAGGCATTATTTACATGACAACAGTCCAGAGTAAGCGGTGCATAACAAAGTGGACTGGGCTGGTGGGGAAGGAGGAAATAGTGTTAAAATGAATGATTTTTTTAAGAGAAAAGCAAACTAGGGGTGGGGTAGGGAGGAAAATGTGCAACAATGAATGAGTGGAAATCCAAGTTTTCTATAAACTTTGGTTAAAATCACAATAAAAATTTATTTAAAAAGGGAGGAAGAAATAAAAAAAGAATGGCCTGCAAGTGCTTGGTCCTTCTTATCATTTTTCATTTATTCTTTAACTTCCTCTAAACTAGCTTTCACTCATCTGTGCATAAAATCCTCTGCCCGTATTCACCTTGACTTCCATATTGCTAAATCCAGTATGCTTGTTTCTCATTTGTTATCTTCTTAGAAATATTCAGTGCAGCTGAACCCTCAAGCCATTAAAGGTGGGGGGAGCGGGGAAGGGTCTGCGTTTTCCTGACAAGCCTCTCTTGGTTGGCTGTTCAGTTAGCTTTGCTGGTCAATCATTTCCTTTCCCTTTTTTGCCGGGAGATTGTGCTTTGGAGTTAGCAGTGCAACCCCCTACAAACTAGGCTATCAGTGCTCCACTACTTGCTCTGATATTTTAAACAAGAGATTTAAAAAAAAAAATCAATCATCTAAAGAGAGTTGTTTAATTGGTGGGTTCCTACACCATCCTCCCAATTGCCCCTGTTCTGGAGAACATTGGACCAGTCACTGTTAGTCTATCTCACTGAGGGTCTTCCCTTACTTATTCACGTGGCTTATCCATGTTACCAAACATCATGTCCTCCTCCAGACCCTGAAAAAACACCCTGTGATAGTAGGTAGAATTAAATTGGAAAAAAGAAACACAGAAAGATTTAAAGAGAGTTGTTTTTTAGTTGTTTTTTTTTTTTAATTCGGGAATAATTTTCTTACAGCTTCTTGAGAATATTTTGTTTTGAACAGTAAATGTCATATTTGTCTTTAGAATTTAATGTTAAGAGCACAAAGGCATAATTATTCTTCATTTTGCCCTATTTCTGTTGATCAATCGCTTTTCATAATTTGTTCATTTCTTTCTTTTCTAAAAGGGAGGAAGGGTAATATTTAGTGTATAAATGGATCATACTGATTTTATAAATATATTGATTATTTTGGACATAACCAGATGTGAAGAAGTCAACCTTTTCTGATTTGTGTAATGATATGATCTCCTTTAATGTATTTTGATGCAAATTTTTCATTTCAAAGATGAGGTGGGCTTAGGGAATTTTTTTTCCCCCTCTCTTTTGTTAAGAAGCTGGGAAATGAAATTGAGTCATGCCTCCAAACAGCTCACAAAGTTGCTTCTACATCCGCTATGTTATTTAGGAGACTTGAACTTGATTATATACTAATGTACTATGCTATTGATTGATTAGTTAGGACATGAATTATTATCCTCGAATTGCTGTTTGCAAGGCTTTTTAACTATCTTTGCAAACAAACTAACAGCCCAGGAAAAAGCTTTAAAAATAAATGGATGCCAAAAAGACATAATTCACCTTCTAAGCAGTTTGGTTTGGAGGGGGAAAAAATATTAACTTCATCTAGTCCTTGGGGCTTTGTAGCAATAAATATTGATCTGCTATGAAAAATAGCTATCTACTGTAGTTAATAGTGTTAAGCCTACTTTACCTGCTAAAAGAGGGAAAATGTAAAAAAATATGAGCTGCAGGGTAATGTTGGTGAGCAGAACCATTGTATGTTAATAGTTTTATTTCATAAAACACCACTCTTCATTGATTTTTTTTTTAATAGCAGGTGCAAAGTTGCTGAAGAAGCACTTCACACATGTTCCTGCTGGTTTTCTTTTCATCCTCCTATGCCAGATTTTTAAAACTGAGATAAAAGGATTGTAACAGTGCTTTTTGGTAGGGGAGGGGCTCTTATTAAAACACACACACACATTCTGAGAATAACTATAGGACGCACACCTTTCTCCCAACAGTACCTCAGTACCGAGCCCCCTTTTCGGTGGACAGCAATTTGTCTGTGGTGTGCGTCGACTGGAGCAGCTCCTTCCTTCTGAACGGCCCACTGAAGGAGTACGTACTGATGGATGGAGCGCAGCGTGTGTACAGCGGCTTCGACACCACCCTCTACATACCAAGGACAGCAGACAAAAGTTCGTTTCTGTTTCTCTTTTCGCCACTTGTAAGGTAGAACTGCAGTGTTTACAGGAATGTGTTTAGACCACATGCAAAACAAGACATGATAGATGTTCTGCCCATGAAATGCCCCTCGAAAGAATAATTTGCACATATGCAAACACAAAAAGCACTTTATTCCAGAATATCCACAAGTGGAGACTTTCTCCCTCAGTAGGAAGGTGGCGAGGGAAAAAGCCCCGAGTCCCCCTCTACAATTGCTTTTATGGCTTTCCTGGGTGCCGCTGTTGGGGCAGGGAGATTGAGATCGTGGTTGGTGGGTCGGGGGATCAGTCATGTGGGTTGGCTTTTGACGGGCTGGCTACTTTGCCCGCCTTTACTCTTTTTGTGTCACATGTTGTTGTTGTTATGTGCCATTCAGTCGTTTGCAACTCATAGCGACCCTATGTACAACAGCCCTAAACCGTGCTCTATCCTGTGCCAATCTCATTGCCTCTGACACACCCATCCCGATTACCCCAGTCACTGAATCAATCCACCTCATAGAGGGTCTTCCCCTCCTGCACTGTCCCTCCACTCTGCCCAGCATGATGTCCCTCTCCAAAGACCTGTCTCTCCTTACAACATGTCCAAAGTATGTCAGGCTTAATTCTTTACTTTGCAAGGACAGATAAGACTTTACTAGGGGCCTTAAGCTAAGAATTTTTATGGCCTGCTTCTGCTTCTGATATTAATGGGGGTCTATGAAAAAATGGGGTTTATGCTGTCCCTTCAATAGAGGCAACATTCCAAACCAAACCAAAATCGATCGCAGCCCAGGTGACATGCCAGATGTTACAGAGTAAAACTGTGCGTCTTCGGGATTCCTGGGCTGTAATCTTCGTGGAAATAGACCACCAGGCCTCACATCCAGAGTACTACTGGGTAACCTCAAACTGTCAACTGTTATGTTAGTAGTGTGGGCACAATCCAAGAATTTTCTAGGACTACTCTGTTAATTCTTTTCCTTCTCTAAACAAGTTCTAAGCCTCTTCAGCTCTGTCACTAACGCAGTCTTTGCTAGATGCCACTGAGTTGATTGTGAGTCAACGTAGTGATCGCTATGGGACTGCAGTGCAGATTCTTACTGCCAGACCCTCAGAACTCCCAATAGGAACCCTGTGAACAACAGAGAAAAAGAAAACTTACCCTGCGCCATATTCATGATGTCTGCCACACTCCGCCTCATTCCTGCAGTTATATTCAATTCATCTCACTTACAGTCATACTATTATTACTAATTACAGCTTTATTCTTGATTATTTTCTCATTAGAATGAAGTTGGCGTAAGTAAAAATATCACCCTTCCTCTGGAATTTCAAACTCTTTATTTTTTTAATGTTATGATAAATCGCTCTTTTAAAAAAGTATATTCAGTTGATAAATAGGTAGAACTCAATGCATTTTTTCAGGGCCGTGAAACTTTTCAGTGTGGTACATAGTGATGAGCACGTGACACTATGCAATTTGTCAAAACCCATAGGAGTTTGCAACACAGAGTGAGCTCTAGCCTGAGCTGTAGGGAGCTCTGGTGGCCTAGTGGTGAGACGCTGCACTGCAATTCCTAAGCCATGTAGTTCAAATCCACCAGCTGCTCTGTGGGAGAAGGATGGCGAATCTTCACCTATGTGATTTACTGCCTTTGAAAACCTGCTGGAGAGTGAGATATCGGTTGATTCTGACTAGACAGCAAACCTGAACTGCAACATTAGTCAATAAGGTATCAATATTGGTTCATCAATTTAGCAAATGTACTGTATGAACAGAGGTGGTTAATAAATAGAATAGAAATTATGTGCTAAGGAAAAAGCAACTCAAATTTCCTGCAAATTTTTTCCAGTGAACTCAGTTGCTCTAGAAAATAAAACCCCTTTAAAAAGAGATGCACATTATTAGTTGTTGTTGTTGTGTATCATAGAGTCAGAACCAACCCATAGCTGACCCTCCAGTGGATTTTCAGAGGCAGTTAATTGCACAGGAGGAGATTGTGTGTCCTTCTCCTACAGAGCAGCTGGTGGCCTCGAACTGCACATGCCTTTGGCATTGCAGTGCAACTTCTTGCCACTAGGCCACCAGAACTGCCTAAGGATTGAAAAAAAAAAAAGAGTCATTTATGCATTCTCCCCCCTCCCAACCCCTCTTGTTTAGCTTTCCTTTTCCAGGTCATCTGCACTACAGATGAAGGAACTGCGAAGACACCAGTGATTCAATATGATACTTCTGCTGGACTGGGTAAACCTTTTATTCCTATTTAACATGGCACCCACCCTTCCCAGTAGCATGTATGTTTGTATACACATATTTGTTCTGATTTATTACCAAAGACGATGTGAAAGGAATTGTGTTCAGTTTTTTGAAGAGCTCTTTTGGTATTTACATTAAAAACATAGTTAAGACCAAGCAAGTCCAATGCCAGCTATTTGATTCCAACTCAAGCCTATAGCACATAGTAGAATTGTCCATAGGGTTTTCAAGGTGGTTAATCTCCAGGACAGCAGACTGTCTCATCTTTCTCTGCTGGAGCAGTTGGTGGGTTCAAACTACTGACCTTTTGGTTTCAAAGATATATATTAACCATGGAGCCTTCAGTTCTCTCTTGTAATTAGGACACGTTTCTAAAATGCCAAAATCTGTAAACTGCAAAGGCCAAGTCAGCCAAAGACATCTACCTAAACTTCTCTCCAAATCACAAAGCCATCAATTAAAAGCAGTACGACTTTGTTTACAAAAGTCAGAGGGATGAGCTCCAAGACGAAGGGGGTGTTATTCCAGTTTGTATTGATGTTAATGATGATATTCTAGATTCAGACTCTAGAATGGTGAATTGGGCACATTTCTGTCCTGTACTCTCCATGAACCATCATGGCTGACTACTCCTACTATGCAACATAGCTGGAGAGATAAAATTGTAATTTTTTTTAAGAGAGTATTTTAAGTTGAATTCTCCCAACAATCTTCAATTTTTTTTAATGTGATATTCTACAGTTCCAAAGGACAAGATAGAGAAATTGTGAGCTTTCTCATTCAGAAACTTAGTCTCGTTTAAATTCTGATGATTGTTAGACCATATTACACACACACACACACACACACACACACACACACGTTGTATTTTGAGGAAAAATTATATCCCCAAATTCTGAAACAGATGAATGAACATAATTCCATACAAGCCAGCTTCAGTTTGTAGAAATAATATATTGTTTATATTTTCCCTGTTTATGTCTAGACACCATGTAAAATTTCTCCTAACCCCTAACCCAGTTCCTTCCACAGGTCTGTATCACTGTTCCATAGCCGCTGTGGTGTAGGACAGCCCTCTTTTGATATTCTTTCACCAACTCCAGTGGTTCCTCAGGCAGACAGATAGAGGTCTGAGAGGCACGCCATTTAGCCAGGAAAGCTCCACGAGCTTGTTGTTGAAACTAGAACTTGAGGATGGTTCTTTTGACTGTTGGCCTAGTGTTTGCTTCTTTTCCCCTTCAGCTGTGAATCTGCATTTTTCAGTATGCATAGGAAGTGTTGCAGTGTGTGTGTTTAATGTACACCATCCTCGGCTCCCACAGAAGCTCTGGTGGCTTAGTGGTAAGGAGCTGTCAACACAAAGGCTCTTGGTTTGCACCCATAAGCTGCTCTGCAGGAGAAAGATGGGCCACCTCGTTCCATGGGATTTATTGCCTCTGAAAACCCACAGGAGGGTTTCAATTCAACAGTACATAACAGCAACAGCAGGCCCACACCTGGAGATTAGAACTCAGTCGTTGTTGCTGTACACTGTTGAGTGGAAGCTTGACCATAGCTGACCCTCCACTGGGTTTTCAGAGACAGTAAATTATACAGAAGGAAGTTTGCCCATCTTTCTCCCACAGAACAGTTGGGGGATTTGAACCAAGTGCCTTTGGTTTGTTAGTGCAGCTCCTTCCCACTAGGCCATCAGCACTCCCTTCAAACTCAGAAAGGTCCAGGAATCTACACTTTAAACCATGTGACTCTGATGCCTGTGTCTTGGACTACACTTTGAGTAATGCCTATAACTGAAATTGTTCTACTTTCAGAATCCCTCTAGCTTAGTCCCCTGGGTAATCAGCATGGTGGACCTTACTTTGCACTAGGTTTGGAATTGGGGTTTTTCTTTGGAACGGAAGTCCAGCCACAGACATCCTGACACTGAACTTGAGCCTCCCATGGTTGCATAGAAGGGGTCTCTTGAAATAAAAGGGAGCCTTGAAAAGGAAAACAGCACTATCCTGATTTCAAGTTCTCCCTAAAGATGGGAAATCTCTGGTTGGTTCCTGAGTTCAGTTCTGAGGACCAAGTGTGTCTGGCGGCTGGACGCAGTGCAGAGATGAGAAACACAGGCCTGAGAGGCACCATGGCGAGTTCTAAGATGCACCTCCACAGTCAGTTTTAATTTTTGTGTTATAACTTTTGAAATATCCCTGTTCTCTTGCCTAAAGGCAGCCTCCAGGCTAAAAAGCCCCACAGACCTGCTTGTTCCTGGACTGGTCTATATAGAGTTGCTGTGAGTTAGCACAGGCTCCGCAGCAGTGGGTGAGGTTCTAAGAGCTATTTCTCTTTAGGGACTTTACACCCAGGCAAACTAACCTTCATTTCCTGGTACCTTACCCAAGCAAAGACCCCACCAGGTACATGAGACCCATACTAGTGTTACTTCCCTCTGAAGCATACAGAAAAAACTCAACTCTTCTAACATATCACCAGGATGTGTAGTTTTTACTCAGTCAAAAATTTTAAAAAATATTTTTCACTTCCATTGAATCAGAGCCAACTCATAGCTTACCCTCCACTGAGTTTCTGAGGCTGTAAATCACACAGGAGGAGATTGTCCATCTTACTTCCACAAAGCCTTTGGTGAAATCAAACAGCTGTTGAGATGTGGCCTTTGAGTTGACAGTGCAACTCCCTATGGTCTAAGCCACTGAGCAAACCTAACCAACAAACATTGTCTCTAACCCAGTGGAATCCTAATTCAGGAGCCCTGGTGCCATAGTGCATGTGGGGCCGCTAACTAACGGGTTGGTTGTGTACCATAGAGTTGGAACCAACCCGTGGCTGACCCTTCAGTGGGTTTTCAGAGGCAGTTAGTCGGGAGGAGATTGCCCATCCTTCTCCCGTGGAGTGGCTGGTGGCTTCAAACAGCATGCCTTCAGGATTGCAACACAGCTTAAATCCATTAAATCCATTAGCCATTTTGTGGAGGAAAAATTAGACACTTTCATCCCATAAAGATGTACAGTCTTAGAAATCCAATCAAGAGTCCATCTTAAATTAGTGTTCACACAAACGCAGTGGGTTGGGTTGGGTTTTATTTTGTTTAGGGAAACTCTGATCTGATTCATTTACATTGGAGCTTTAGATTTGGTCCTTCATGTTAGAGAGAGGGACCAAAGTGACTTTTTCTAACCAAAGTGCAGGACAGAAGTAGAGTTAGGGTTGGTCTTTTTGCTGGCGTGTGAATTCTTTTTCATAGCAATCCCTTGTTAACAAAGTAGAACTGCCTCATAGGCCCTGTTAGCTCTTTGAAGGCACTTTAACTGAAAGGTCAGTGGTTCAAGCTATGCTTGGGAGAAAGATGAGAAGATTTCGGGAGATGCTTTGGGAGAAAGCTATCTGCTTCCATAAAGGTTTACACCTTTGGAAAATGTGTGGCGTACTTCTATTCTCTCTTTTTCTCATGTCACTGTAAGTTGGAATCATCTCCACTACAATAGGTTTGGGCATTCGTTTTTGCTGTTCAACCTCTCTATGAAAGTAGGTAGTCAAGAATTCACATAGAATTGCTGTTGTTGTTATTATGTGTTGTTGAGTTACCTGTCCTAAGCCAGTCTCACTGACTCTGACACACCAACCCCCATTGTCTCCATTCCTGTATTAATCCAACTTATCTGGGGTCTTCCTCTCCTGTGTTGTCCCTCCACCCTTCTAAGCATGATGTCCTCCAAAGAACAGTGTCTCCTGACCACGTGCCAAAGTACATGAAATGGTGCATGAAAATTCTAGCCTCCAAAGAGAACCTGATTTCACCCCTCCAAGACAGATCTGTTTGTTTTCATGGTGGTCCAATGATATATTTAAGACTCTTTTCCAACAGCACAGCTCAAAAGTATCAATTCCTCTTCTGTCATCCTTAGTTTAGTCATTGTCCATCTCTCTGAAGCATAGCAAGTAATTGTAAAGACCATAATCTGGATTAGGCGCACCTTAGTCTCTATACTGACATCATTGCTCTTTAGCACTCTGGAGAGGTTTCTGACAGCAGATTCAAATCACTGACTTGTCTATTAGCAGCCTAACCATTGTGCCACCAATGTTACTATAACTAGAGTAATAGCTCTCCTTTAAAAAATGGAGTTAAAATTTAGTTCTCAGCCACCCACTTTCCCTTCCTTAAATATTAACGCTCCAGTATTGAAAGCTCTACCTTAACCCTTCCTCTAACAGTGTAGGTCTTCCATGCACACCCCTGAAGTGCTGCCAAAGGAAAAGTTTGTCCGAGGAGAGAGTGGGCATCTTCCACTGTGTCTGTCTGTCTGTCTTTGGGCTGGAGGGTGTTTGCTTTATAGGCACAGCTTATAGGCTTGTAGGTGCATATTATAGGTACCAGCCTGTGTGGCCGCCGTGTGGAGCTGCAGCTTTCAAGCTGGCCAAGCCATGACCAGGCTGGTACTGACCTTTGAGACCTTCCCCTCTGCAGCTGCCAGCCTGACTGCATGGTTTCCACTGAGCTCTGGTGCAGTGACCCCAGCAGCCCTTCCTTCTGCCCACCCTGACTCCTCTCAGCTTTCCCCACACCCACAAGATCTAATAATACTCCCATGGCCTCGTCTTCATTGAGTAAAGCTCTCAGCATAGGCCTGTATTAGTTATGGGTGCCAGTGACTAGATTATTGACACATAGAGGCCCCAAGTGACAGAGAAAAACTGCTCCATAGGGTCTCGTTGCCTGTAATCTTTATGGGAATAGGCCAGTAGCTCTTTCTCCTGCAGAGCCACTGGGTGAGTTTGAACCATTGACCTTTAGATTAGAAATCAAAGGCTTAAGTATTACACACCAGGACTTTTCAACATAAGAAAAACATTCATTCTAGTTGATTCTGGGGAAATGAGGGTAGGTGTGTCAGAGACAATAAGTTTGGCACAGGGTAGAGTAGAGTCAGAGTCCAGAGTTGTTGTACATAGTGGGACTATATGCATCACAAGTGACTTTAGGGTACATAACAAGAACAGTTGAGAGACAACGTTAATTTCATGTTCAGAAAAATCACCCTAACTGCAAGCTCGGCTTATGGATGGGCATGAAGGGTAAGATGTCTTATTGCAAAAACAGAGGGATGAGGATGTGCAGGGGGAGGGAGGATTAATCATTGGGTTGTACAATTTGATGGGTGAGGGGGTGAGGGAAATTGAAAGAATTTGCTCTACTTAGTATTCTAATTTTATAAATAAACTAGTAGAAAATAAAAAAAATAAACAATTTAAAAAGTTGAAGAGCAACGATGTCAGTCTGGAGACTAAGGTGCACCTGATAAAGGCCATGCTCTTTGCAATTACTTGCTCTGCATCAAAAAGCTGGCAATGATTAGGGATAATAGAAGGAGACGTGATGCCTTTAAGCTGTGGTGTTGGAGAAGAGTATTGAAGATACCATGGACTGCTAGGAGAACAAACACGTTCGTCCTGTAGAGGGTAAAACCAGGCTGCTTCTTGGAGGCAAGGATTCTGAAGCTTTGTGTGGCATACTTTGGTCATGTTGCAAGGTGGGATCAGTTCTTGGAGAGGGACGTCATGCTTGAGGGGATGATGCGACAGCGCAGGAGAGGAAGATCCTTGATGAGATGCATTGATTCAGTGACTGGGGTAATTGGGATGGGTGTGTCAGAGACAGTAAGATTGGAACAGGATAGAGCAGGGTTTAGGGCTGTTGTACATAGGGTTGCTATAAGTCTCAGGCGACTCTTCTAAACATTTCCACCCCACCCCTGTCTTTCCTGGGGACTTGCAAAGACAGCAATGATTGCCAGCCTGGGTGGTAATGTCAGGTGGTCTCCTGAAGCTGTAAGCTTTTCCCCTTCACCCCATGGACACCCTGACTTATTACCTGCACCAGCACTCAAGTGCAAACAGTGTGACACACGGTTGAAAACTTCAAGTTCATTGTCAGGCAAATAGATCACACAGCTGCTTTTGAACCAGTCTTCCCGTTTTCTTTCCTGGTTTCTGCAGGCCTGGTGCTGACGACTCCTGGAGAAAAGAGGGGGTCAGGGAACAAAAGCACGGAGTTCTACACAGAGCTGTGGTTCATTGTGTTAATGGCGATGCTGGGCTTGATCTTGTTGGCCATTTTTCTGTCCCTGCTACTACAAAGAAAGATTCACAAGGAGCCATACATCAGAGAAAGGCCGCCTTTAGTTCCTCTTCAGAAAAGGATGTCTCCACTGAGTGTCTACCCGCCAGGAGAATCACACGTGGTATGTGTCCGGGGAGGAAGCCCCACTTCCCTCCCACTGGCCGGCAGTGCTGGTTTTGAGAAAGGAGAAAGTGTTTTCCACAGCTGTGGCTAATGAGGGCTTATGTTTAACCAAATGCAGGAATCAATGAAAACACCCCACCAAAGTTCCCAACACTGGAATACATTGAAATCAGCAGGAACTTTAAAAATCACTATTGTTAAGGAGATTTGAGAGATCCTCGTTTCTTTGGTCTGGGTGGTATTTGAGCATTGCTGTTGTTTTAACTTCCCAGTGATTCCACTGTATAAACGAGAGTCTGCATCTTGCTGTCCGCTGCTAGTTAGGAAAAGTAGAGCTGAGCTGTAAGTGAAAGCATCCTGTGGATCAGAAACAACCCACCATGTATGCTGGTAGGATTGTGCTCAAATGGCTGATTTTTCAGAAGTAGATCATCAGCCCTTAACTTCCAAGGCACCTTTGGGTGGACTCAAACTCCCAACTTCTTGGTTAACAGCCGAGAGGGTTCACTGTTTGCACCAGTCAAGGGCTCCTATTTAAACTGAAAGAATGTAATTAGCATTAGTCCAACTAAGTATAGGGTCATCGCTGGTGTCCATAACCTTCTCAGCATCAAGAAATGCGCATCCAATTAAGGAAAAGGCCGGATTCTCTGGCCTTATGTGTCAGACTGAGCTCCCCCAACACCACTGCCAACACCACCACCACCACCATGTCCACTCCAACCCACCTGCCTCCGACACACATCACCACTGCTTATCAGAGCAGCTTAGTTTCAGTGTTGCTCTCCTTAAGATCTGTTCCAGCCCTCCTAGTTTTCTGATCAAGAAAGGGGACCTTTTAACACTCGACCATAACGGCGAAAGAATTTCAGGCTCCACTCTGAAAAGGGAAAAACAAGGCAGAAGTGCTTGGGAATGAGAGCCTTTTTTATTTCATTAACCTTTTCAGGATCACACAGCGTACAGATTACATACAGGCTTTACTTGTACCTTATTAGTTTGCAGGTCTTATTATGTGAAATAATGAAACTGAAACTCACCTCAGACACTAAGCAATAGTTAGTTTTCACTCACCCATTCACTATGCAGTTTTAATGACAAGCCTTTCATATATAGCGGTAGTGGTGGTTGTGTACCATCAAGTCAGAGCTGACCCAAAGCTGACCCTCTGGTGGGTTTTCAGAGGCAGTGAATTGCACAGGAGTAGATTGCCCATCCTTCTCCTGTGGAGCAGCTGGTAGCCTCGAACCTTGTGCCTTAGGGATTGCAGCACAGCTTCTTGCCACTAGGCCACCATATACAAATATTTACGTATTTTCGTAATAAAATATTTACGTATTTATATATGTAAATATGTATTTACAATATACTCACACGCATATCTATATTCAAGGTAGTATTTAATGTATGGATAAGAGTATGGTGAAACACTCTGGTGGTGCAATGCTTAAGTGCTCAGCTGATAACCAAAAAGGTCAGTGGTTCAAATCCACTAGGCACTCCACAGAAGAAAAGACCTGATATTCTGCTCCCATCAAGATTCTCTCACTGACTCATAGACACGGAGTTGGAATGGACTCGTAGCTAACCCTTCACTGAGTGTCTGAAATTATAAATCAAATAGGAGGAGGTTGCCTCTCTTTCTCCATAGGAGTTGCTGCTGGTGGATTTGAACTGCTTTTGGGTTAGCCATGCACTCACTGTGGACTCTACCACTAGTAAAGATCCCAGCCCAGCACACTGTATGAAGCAGTCCCGTGCTATCCTATAGCATCACTAAGATTTGAAACAGATTTCATGGTACACAACAATGATCTCATGATAGAGTCTGAGGATTACAAAGAACCCATTTAAAAATGTTCCCAACACTGACTGATGCTTCTAAATTTTTCTCAGTTTGACTCTGTGGCTGATATATCTGATGTGTCCAGCAATGTCACCCTAAAAAGTTACACCATGCACTTCGAGGTACCTTTGTGTGCTGTATTTCATGCATGATCTTCTGCATGCCTGTTGATTTTGCAGTTGGGAAGCAAATTAGCTCTGATTGAAGACGCTAAATGAGAGTCCTCACAGGCTTAGAGAACTTACTTTAGATGTATTCTGTATCATAATATTGGAGTGGCTTTCTCTTTTTGACCTTATCAGACATGACTGATCTTAAAGGCAAGACTCCTAAAAAGAGAGGAACAATATGGAAAGGAAAAAGGGAAAGGAGAAGACCAATTTCAGTCACAAGTCTTAGCAATTTTACAGTATAGCCCAGGTATACTTCTGAGTTACTGCAGGTTTGGATTAGATCAGTGCAATAAAGCCAGTCACACTAATATTCTGGTTTTCCAATAACAAAATATCTTGTAACAACAACAATATAGAGAAAGCTCAGTTGGCCTAGTGGATAGAAAGTTATGCTACCAAGTAAAAGGTGGGTGATTTTAATCTGAGGTCCTCAGGCCTGGTTTTAATTGGTTTTGGCCAAACATTCTAAGTGGTATAGCCCTGGTCTGTCCATTTGTTCTACAGAGGTAACTCGTGGTTGCTGTGATGCTAAACACTGTGACACTGATATGTCAAATGCGATAATGGTTACACATGGTGGACAGTGTTTGGTGGAGCTCCCAGATTAAAACAAGCTTGGAAGCAGGAGTGACATCCACTTCTGAAATAGCTTGCCTTCGGAAACCCTATGAACTTGGAGAAATGATGAAAGTTATACAAGTTTTCAGGTCTTCGGGTCATGGCTATGAGTCGTCTACGACTCAACAGTACTTAACAACAACACCCTGTAGTCTATTGAGTATATGAAGTAACACTATAAAAAAATTTAAAATATTTTGAGAATTATCAGAACATGACAGAGACACACAGAGTGAGCACATGCTGCTGGCACTTGCTGGATGCAGAGCTGCTGCAGATCTACCTTCAGTTTGTAAAGATCACAGTATTTATGCAATAAAATGGGATATAGATGCGCAGACTGTGCTCACTCAGCGGGTAAACCTGGGAGTCTTGACAGCTCTGGCTGCTCAGAAAAGTTCTAGATTGCTGCCATCCATGAAGAGATCATCTTGTTACCTCCGTAAGCCTTTGCACCACTGCTGCAGGGCATAGGCCATACCGCACAGAGACTGGCCAGAGCACCTGTCCACATGCTTTCTAGGTGCTAAAAACAATGGCATCTAACAGAACCTTCACTGCATTGTCACTCATAACAAGAAGCCAAGGGTCAGGGGCTCAAGAAGCTCACTTCTGGGAGAGAGTCCGTTCTTCCTGTCTTTGACAGTGGGTGAATTAATTTTCTGTCCTATTCCAACCCTATCTTCACTATACATTAACTACCAACAACAACTTTTTTTGCAGGGATTGGCTGACACTAAAATTCCTCGGTCTGCGACACCTGTGAGTATCCGGAGCACCCGGAGTGTGTCTGTTCTGCGAATCCCAAGTCAGAGCCAAATCAGCCAAACCTATTCCCAAGGTTCTCTCCACCGTAGCGTCAGCCAGCTCATGGACATTCAAGACAAGAAGATCTTGGTTGATGACTCGCTGTGGGACACCATCATGGGCCATGACAGTGGACTGGTCAGTTGATTTCTGCCACACAAGCAGTGGGTAAAGGTCACTTGTACCTCACTGAATGCAGCCACACAGTAGTCTTGAACGTGAGCATTTACCAATGCTCCCATGACCTCTTCTTTACGAGCATGTGTTAAGACATTGGTTGAGGCTGAGTGAAACAGTACTTTGCCTTGTTCTTCTGGAACACACTAACTCACCTCACTGCTATTCTCCTGCAGAGCTATTGGCAGATTTGAACTGCTGGAGGTGAGGCCTTTGGGTCAGCAGCGCAACTTCCTTCAGACTACACTAGCCACCAGAGTGTGTGTGTGTGTGTGTGTGTGTGTGTGTGTGTGTTATTTCATTACATCTAAAAATCAAATCCTGCTTATGACTGTTGAGCTCCATGCATTCAATTTCAGATCTAAAGTTTCTAAAAGGCAGGGATATTAGAATACACTAAATTGAAAGATAATATGTTGATAATTTGTAATGTGTAAAATGGCAACACTATATAGCCCAGCATACTACATTGAAGGGCTTAGCAGCATTGTTTTACCTAATCTGCACAAATTCTGGAAGGTAAACACTATGATCATCCCCATTCTTACACAGGGGAAAAAAGCCTAGAGATGAATCTAAGGGCACACAGCTAGTTTTTTTCATAAAAGTTAAAATATCTAAAAAAAAAAATAAAATCCTACTTTTGGCTAAGATCAAGTGTAGTTGGAAGCAGGAGTGGCATCCACTTCCTGAACATGCCTCCAGAAACTCTATGAACTTTGATAAATGTCGATAGTTGTAGAGGGGCTTCAAGCCTTTTGTTCATAGGGTCATTATGAGTCGTGCTCAACTCAAATGCAATCAACAACACAACACAAAGCTAGTAGGTGATATATAGCCACTTTTGTTTGCTTTGTTACGATAGTAGTGAAAAGCACTCTGGCAGGCTCGCGGGGTAGAGTTGTGCAGCCAGCACGAAGGTGGCACCTCTATGGTGGATCAAGTCCACCAGCAACTCCATGGAGAAAAACAGGCCCTCTCCTCCAATGAGATTACTGGCCTCTGAAAACCTACTAGAGGGTCAGCTGTCAGTCGTTCTAATTTGACAAAAATTTATTCGAAATTTTTGTGGCTTTTTCTGAGTACTAATGAATAGTACATGAAAGAATTCAATCAAAGTGTCTAACGGTAATAATACTCTTATTCAATTATCTGCTTATTACAACATTATAAATATTACTAGCCCTAAAGATTGAGATAGTTAACAGTTTTAGTTTACTTGGTTCCATAGTCAACATTCTTGGTAGCAGCAGCCAGGAAATCAGGAGATGAATTGCACTGGGAAAGTCAGCTGTGAGGGACCTTTCAAGAGTACTGAAGTGCGACTACGTCAGGCTGGAGACTAAGGTGCGCCTGATCTGGGCTATAGTCTTTGCAATTACGTGCTATGCATCGGAGAGTTGGACAGTGACTAGGGATGAGAGAACTGATGCCTTTGAGCTGTGGTGGAGAAGAGTGTTGAATATAGCATGATGGACTGCTAGAACAAACAGGTTTGTCCTGAAGAGGGTGAAGCCAGAATGCTCCTTGAAGTCAAGGATTCTGAAGCTTCGTCTGACATACTTTGGGCATGTTGCAAGGAGGGATCAGTACTTAGAGAGGGACATCATGCTTGGGAGAGTGGAGGGATGGCGCAGGAGAGGAAGACCCTCGATGAGATGGATAGATTCTGTGAGTGGAGTGGTGGGAATGAGTGTGTTTCAGAGGGTGGGGTTGGGATAGAACGGCGTTTAGGGCTCCTGTACATAGGGTTGCTCTGAGTTGCAAGCGACTCGATGGCACGTAACAATAAAAGAAATACAGTAAGAGAATTAATAGAATGTAGTAGCTTACCTTCCCACTTTTCTGCTTACTCTAGAACTTAAGTCTCAAATATATATATATGAACATACACACGCACACATACACATCCTTCCTAGTTTACACTTGAGAAAACTGAGGCTTAGAAGACAGAATCTCACTCAAATCATGCACAAATCATGTGTGCATGCATGCAAGTGCCCCTCTGGGTAATAAAAAGGGCGTCATAAAACATATAGTTAGTTGTTGTTGTGTACCATAGTGTACCCGTAGCTGACCCTCTGGCGGGTTTCCAGAGGCAGTTAATTATCTGAGAGGAGACTGCCCATCTTCCTGTGGAGCAGCTGGTGGCCTTGAACCCCAGGCCTTCAGAACTGCAGTGCTGCTTCTTGCCTCTAGGCCACCAGAGCTCCCTAAGTAGAGTTTAGCATGTGATATTAGCCTTTATTAAGTATCTACTGATTACTATTAACTTAAAGCAGGAAAAATATGGGAAATCTTGTGCAATTAACTGCCCCTGAAAAGCCACTGGAGGGTCAGTTATGGGTTGGTTGTGACTCAACGGTACACAACAGCAACACTGACCTTAAGTTGATAGATAACACTCTAACCAATGACTGGTATATTTTCCAGTACGTGGATGAAGACGACCTGATGAATGCCATCAAGGGATTCAGTTCTGTGACCAAGGAACATACTGCATTCACAGACACCCACCTGTAACTGGACTACGGAGGATGGGATGCAAGTTCCACATCAAGCCATTGCCATTTAGTCATCTTTATAAAAAGACTGTTTTGAAAGTGTTCCTCTCCTGTGGATGTATAAAACATTTTTCTGGCTGTATAAAATGAGGGGTTAATTTTTATATAAAAGTATTTGGTTTGCTATTTTCTTTGTGGAAGAGAAAGAAATCTGTCATTTTCACCTGGCTCTGCTTGAAAGTGATGCTTCTGGTTAAATGAACGTTAATGTGCTGTCAAGTTGGAACTGACTCATGGCTGACCCTCCAGTGGGTTTCAGAAGCTGTAAATGAAATGAGAAGAGACTACCCACCTTTCTCTGTCAGAGCAGCTGATCAAATTAATGTTGTTATTTACCAACGAGTTGGAACCAACTCATAGCTGACCCTCCATTGAATTTTCAGAGAAAGAAAATCACACAAGGGAAATGGTCATCTTTCTCTGGCAGAGCTGCAGGTGGATGAAAACTGAGGGACACAGGTTTGGCAGCTTCTGACCATTATTGTTTGTTGTTAGGTGCCATCAAGTCAAGTATGATGTACAGACACCCTATGGACAGCTGACCCGAACCCCGCCATATCCTGTGCCATCCTCATCATCTCCAACACACTCGAGCCCACTGCTGAAGCCACTGTGTCAATTCATCTTGTTGGAGGTCTTCCTCTCCTTCGCTGACCCTCCACTCTTCCACTAGTCAGTGATAATCAGGGGTCAGCCAAAAATTACCATGAGCAAAGCATACTGGCTGAAAAATTGAGATTCTTCTGAAAAGACCTCTGCTGGTCCTTCCATGATGACCCATTTCTATCAGCATTCACACAATCCCATCACAACGATTGTAATGATCATAAATAACTGTGCTGAGCTGGGGTGGGGGGGAATCTCAATTTCAGGCTAAGCTGAATCTAAGCCCAAACATTTTAGCAGAGCATCATGTAACTCTCTGTTCTTGCACTTACCAATCTTCTGAAAATCTGATGACTAAACATTTTGTTTCAAAAAGAAAAATATTCAACACTTTCACAATGTGACCAGTGTTTCCATTTCACATATTTTACACCATTTCGAGAATCCATTTTACTTTTCTTTTGGAGTCTTTATTTTCATAAAATTCTGTCATAAACTGACTACCAGGGAATACTGACACCAACTTAGCACATCTGAAATGAAACTACAGTTCTTTTTGTAGCATTTAATCAGTCCATGTGGACTTAAGAAAAAACATTTTATCCATGATCTTTGCATTTTTTGAAATTGTTTACCATATTTACATGCAAGTCACGATACTGCATACCCATATAGAACCAAGTTACATAAAATGCAGGGTTAACTTTAAAACTACTGTTTTAAATTCCAAATATATATACATCTATATGTACATAAATTTAGCATTTATATATAGAATATGCATATGCATACACGCACACACACACACACACACACACACATATGGAGTCCTGGTAGAACAATCATTAAATTCTCAGGGGCTAACCAAAAGGTCGGCTCTTCAAACCCCCTCAATCACCCTATCGTCCCCTGGAGAAAGATGAAGCATTCTGACTATGTAAACCTCACCCTTGGACACCCTGAGACCATTCTACTTCAACTAGACAGTTGCTATTAGTTGGATTAGACAAAAGGCTTGGTGTATCTGTATTGGTACATAGGACTCTATATGACATATAAAATCCTTGATTTCAGAATCCTGAGGCTGCTAGCCAAAAGGCTGGCAGTTGTAATCCACCAGCTGCTCCATGAAAGATGGGTCGTCTCCTCAAGTAAAGATTTATAGCCTCAGAGACCTAGTGGATGGTTAGTGTGAACGGTAACCAACTCAACCAGTTACTACCTTAGCCCTACAATCATTAAGAGCACATTACTACAACTACCAATTTTCATGCCTGAAAAACCTTGTCACCCGTTCTACTTGGATCACCTAATCTGGTGGCCTAGTGTTAAGAAACCACACTGCAATCCCAAATGGACTCGGTCTGACTCCACCAGCTTCTTTGCTGGTGGATAGGCAATGCCCTTCTGTGATTAACTGCCTCTGAAAACCCCCTGGAGGGGCATCTATGGGTTGGTTCCAATCTGAAGGTAAACAACATTTAGTCAGCTGCACTGTGGGGTAAAGATAGGTAGGCTCTTCCCATTAGATTTATGGTTTCTAAAAACCAGCACACTACAACAATCACTAGCGAGAGTTCTACCTCAAGAAACATTTTTGTTCATTACCAGAAAATTAGAGCCATTTAAATTAGTACTTCATGAGAAACAATTTAAGAAAATTCTTCTTCTATCACTCTCAAAGGTCTTAACAACTCAGCAGAATTATTTTGAACCTGTGTGTACAATGCGTGATTGTCTGGCAATATCTTGTGCATTTATATTCAAAGGTCAGTGGGTTTCCCAAAACTGACTTAACAAAAATATATGAAGTCAGGAATATGAATTACTTTACAATTACCCTGTAGTCCAACAGGTAATCACTGTGAATTCTTGGGACTGTGGTACATCTTCCAAATTCATACAAGGTCAGCTCTTTAGGTGGACCAGCCAATTCCCAGCCAAACCTTGCCAATCTGATGTGTCAAAAGCACAAACAGTATTAACCATACACTCCTTCTCCTTGGTTAGAACTAGAACGACTCGAAGCAAAGCTGAAATGTGTACATTTGGCAGTGTATGTAGAAACCTTAATAGATTCACCACCACCATACGAACGTTTATACATTCTTAAATGGAAGAATTAGATTGGCTACTTTGGATTATGGGTTGTTACGTCTGACTGGTGAGTCTGCCACTTCATTTACAGTAGCACAAATGTAGGTAAGGCTGGATTTCTGCCTCAAAAGAGCTACTTAAGGTATACAAGAAGTGTTCCAATGGAGTGTAGAGCCATCGGAAGCCTTGAATGAGTTCTGTCCAAAGCACTGCCCCTCTGCACTCCCTGTCTAACCTTATTTGCATGCATTTCAAAGAAATTCTAAGGTTTTGGTTTTTGTCTTCAAGTGGTATTTTGTGCCAAGCTTACACCATATGAACTCATTTAAAAGTTCCTGGTGCTTTTAAGCAAACCAGAAAGACTCCACATCTCAGCCACATCTCCCTTGTTGAGAAAATAAGCAAGCTCTCTAGCGAAGCTTTTTAAAAATCTAAAATTTCTCACTCTTGTGTATACAGACCACATGCTCAGCTTAATAACTACCGTGTTTTGCTATTCCTATTAGTAACTGTACAGTGATTTAAGTTTTGTTTCTAGATGATGTTATTTCTATTACATGAAAAACCTAGGCATGGATGTGCTGTTACCTAATCTTCATCTGAAAATTTTATTGGCATCAACACGACGATTCAACCTGAAAAATCTGTAAACAAGAATAAGTATTAAGGAGCTTAATCATGTCACATATTAATATCACTTTATTTCCAATGCAAAAACATCATGTAAAATAATCTAAAGATGGTTTGCTTAATAGGTATTTAAATGTGAAGTTTAATACATTTATGAAAAAATATTCTAAAGACTCTAAGTTCTATTTATATTGTACACATGAATAATGGTGCTAAAGGTTTGACTATTAATAGGATGCTGTGGAGAATTCGAGTCTTCAGTGTACATTAGTACTGACTTGTTTTCTCCAACTACATATGTTAACTAACATGGGGCCCAAGCAGACAAGTACTAGCAGTCTGAATTCACTAGCTGTTCTGAAGGGAAAAGATGAGACTGTCTGCTCCCATTAAAATCCATAGCCTCAAATAGCAGTGGAACCCACTTTGGGGCAGTGGGTCTGGTCTGGGTTTTGAGAAACTGTATAACCTTAGGTGATTCTGATCCACAGCATAGTTGAGCAAGCCAGGAATAAGATCACAGGTTCTTAAAAGAGGCAAGTTTGTGTTCCAAAGGTGGCTCAGTGCCTGCCTGGCCTGGTTAGGCTATATGTCTTCTCTGGGCCTTGGTGCTTTGATGTGGGAAATAAGAAGGATCTTACTGATATTTTAACATTAAAGTATAAAATTATGTGGGGAAACTCCATTTCATTTTTTTCTTGTCACAACCTCCCTAAGGAGGTAGTGGTTGTTATATACTGACTCGTGGTTGACCCTCCAAGTGGGTTTTTCAGAGGCAGTATGGGAGGAGATTGTCCATTTTTTCTGTAGAGCGGCTGCTGGACTTGAAGCCTCTGCCACAGGGTTGGCAGCGCAACTCCTTACCCTCAGCCACCAGAGCTCCATAACTAGGTAGGTATAAGGGAAAACTCAAACTTAGGGGGATAACTTATTCAAGGGTATGAAGTGCCAAGGCAGAATCAAATCCTGACTCTAACATCGATGTTCAAACTCTTATTAGTGAAAGAAGTAAGATTTGACTTGCAATATAATCCAACCCACGATATAGGAAACTGCTCCGTTACAGGATTTTACTACACAACAGTTTTGTTCTACACACTTTTACTCTTGGAAAAGACTTGGTAAATACTTAAAGTTTTTCTTTTATTAAAAAAAAAATAATTTCTTCCATGCTCACACAACTACCACGTAACTGAAAATAACTGCAAGTCTTTAGTTAGCCATTTTAAAACTGTTTTCTTGTACATTTCCCCACGTGACAATATACTGAAATTCTCCCTCCACCCCTTCTTTCACTATGGAAGAAGCAATGAAATGAACAAATACAAGAAAATACACTTTACACAACACAGTTGTCTCTCAAACAACAAAACCACATGGTCATAATTATTTTTATTTACTTGATAAATAAATACAGAGGACCATTGTGAAACCACCGGCAATTTAGTTAACATTATTTTCACCTTTACTCACTATTTCTCAGAATGGGATTATATACATAATTCACCAATAAGCCCATGACCACACTGAATTTAAAAATTACTCCATTTTGCAGAAACTTGACAATCATTCCAATTAAAGTAAGGAAGGAAAGTTTAAAAAATTAATCTTCTTTTTACGTTCACAATTTAAAATTTATTCAAGATCACATTTTTACAGCAGCCCAAACTATTAATCAAAAATTCAAAACTACACTCTTAGAAGAATAACAAAATGGCCACATTCTAAATTTTAGGAAGCTCTCTCAAGTTCCAAATGAAATCTGTTGCTAATTGTCTAAGTGAAATTTGTAGGCGAGTCTGAAGAGGTTCTTGGCCTTTCTTCAGTGTTAGAAGAAGGAGTGCTGGTGGGACAGTGCTTTACACACTAGGCTGCTCATGCACCAGCTGCTCCATGGAAGAATGATGGAGCAGCCTCCACTAATCAAGATTTACCTCAGAAGCCCAAAGGTGTGTCATCATGACTCAAAATTGATCTGCAGGCAGTGAGTTTTAGTGCAAAAAATAAAAAAAGTTGGGACCCATTTCAGTGGTTTAAAGCCTGCATATGCAGCAAGTAAAGGGAAGAATTACTAGTTTGGTTCAATTGCTTCAAACTGAGGGCACTTTATATATAATTGAAGGATACTCATAATCCCTGAGACTATCTGCATTTTGGTTACTAAATTGGTAAAAATAAACAACAACAAAAAGCCAGGCAGGCTAAGATCATTAACTGGTACAATTTTCCATGCTGGGCACTAAAAGCTTTGCTCTTCATTATTATTTTTGTTTCATCAATTCAATCATAAGACAACTGTTCTAACTTGAATGATTAAGTGGACTTTTGACATTTAATATTGGTGATACTGGCTAAGATTCAACAACTTCAACAACAAGCAGCAAAAAAATAACACAAATTAAAAAAGAAAAATTACCCTAAAGGACTTACTACATATGGAATTGGGATCTGGTATTCAACATCAATAGTGTTTTTGAGTTATAAGATTTCCCCACACCCTCCTCAACACACACACACACACACACACACACACAAATAGCACCTCATTCAAATATCTGGTAAACACTTTGCAAATATAATAAGGGTGGGGAGATCAAGTTCTGAAGAGAGTTATGTGATTCACTTACGATGACACTGCAAGACAAGTCCCAGGCATAATCAAGACTAAGAACAGTGTGGCAGTCCCCATTCTAAGAGGATGCTCACATGACATACAGGTACCATCCTCTTAAGGCATGATGCTTTGCCTTCCATCAACAAACAGCAGCTAAATGTAGATGCTGACTTGTGATTTAGAAATGATTCCATTAAACGTAAAACTGAAAACCGACCAAAACAAAACAAAAACATGAAGTAGTAAAGTTATTTTTATATTTTAACTCCTTTACTCTTGGTAATTGTTAAAAAGATACTACAGGAAGTTTAATTTGTAAAGCTTTGATGTAAAAACTCATTTCAGAGCTAGTAAAATTTGATTTTCATCTATATTTAACAAAACAGCTATCTATTTTGATGTGTTTTCACAAGCTGTATTCCTGACCTGAAGAATCACTCTTCTTGTGCCGAGGAGATGGCGTAGTCTTGGTGGGAGATGGGGATGCAGTACCAGGTGAGTCAGTACCTCCATCAGAAGTACTCGGGGAAGATGCGAGATAGGGAACTTTCTTTCTCCCCAGGAATCCTCCTCCTTCAAATCCTCCTTTCTTCCTTAATTCTACTTTATTTTCATTTTCATCTTCTGATGACTTTTTCTTGGACTCTGAAAAACCTTCAGTTATTTTATGAGCTTCCAATCCACTATCTGTTTCTTTCAAACTTTTTATTTCTGTTCCAGGAGACTTTCTTTCAGATACATTACACTCCCCTGTTGCTCGTTTCATTTCAGCTTGTATTGGACCCAAGTTGCCATTTTCAGGGACAGCTCTTTCTACATTTCTGTTCAAATTAATAGTCTGGAAGTCCCGATAACTGTGAAAGCTTTCAGTCCTTCTCGCCCTTGCTAGCAAGGGACTCTCTCTGTAAGGCCTCACAGAACTGTATGTAGCTGCTTCATGGATGGTTTCATAGTGCTGAAGTTGAAGGCTGAAATAGATTTTCAAAAGATTATAGTTCAGTTTTTGTCTCTGAGATTTCTCAGAGGCTTATCAATTAAATATCTTTAAAACATGTATCAATATGTATATTTATACATATATATAAAATTTATTTGTTAACCATTACATACAGAGAGACCATTACATGGGGAGTATGTGGGGGGGGGGTATGTGTACATGTGCGGTGCATCAGGGAACTCTGGCAGCAAAGTCTATAGAGAACTGCACTGCTATCCCAAAGGTGGCAACTCTCTGATAGTGCAAATCCACCAGTGGCTGTGAGAGACAGAGGGCCAATCTCCTCTCATGTGATTTATCATTTCCTGAAAACATGCAGGAGAGGAAGCTATGAGTTGGTTAAATAGAGTATGTATGCATGCATCCCTGTCATTTTA